CTCAGGCAACAGGAAAAAAGAAACCCTACAGATACATCATCTTCCTTCCTTAGTATCTTTCTAACCTGTCTGGTTGAATGTCCTGGTGTTGCTGATGTGAACAGTGAGAGATGTTAAGATTATTTGTGCTCTGCTTACTGTTCCTAAGGAAGACAAAAAAACCCATACATCTTATCAAAAACAAATGGTGTTCTAGAGGGCTGATGGGCTGGTGGAACTTCACATGAAAATATTTTGATTTATTAAGAATTCTTTAATAAATCCATATACATTTTTTGAAAGTTTTAAATGAATATTTAATTGGGTGAAACTTAGCATTGATTCAGCTTTGAATTTAATAGCAACGAAAGAGTGAAAGATTTAAGGGCCCAGGCAACAGGAAAAAAGAAACCCTACAGATACATCATCTTCCTTCCTTAGTATCTTTCTAACCTGTCTGGTTGAATGTCCTGGTGTTGCTGATGTGAACAGTGAGAGATGTTAAGATTATTTGTGCTCTGCTTACTGTTCCTAAGGAAGACAAAAAAACCCATACATCTTGTCAAAAACAAATGGTGTTCTAGAGGGCTGATGGGCTGGTGGAACTTCACATGAAAATATTTTGATTTATTAAGAATTCTTTAATAAATCCATATACATTTTTTGAAAGTTTTAAATGAATATTTAATTGGGTGAAACTTAGCATTGATTCAGCTTTGAATTTAATAGCAACAACCTTGGAAATACTTTTCATCTCTTTACTGCATTGCAGGCCCAATTTAACTTTCTAATATATGACTGATTTCTTCATTGCATTGTTTTCCTTAAGTTGTTTTTTCTAAAAGTAAATGTGTAATGAATTTAATATAAGAAATAATCATTTCAGTTTATATATTAGTTGCTTAGTACTAAATGTTCTTTAAAAAGCATTGTGTGTTTCTCCAAGCTGCAGAAATTTCATTCTTCTAAAGGTTATGTTGTTAAGCACAAATTAGTTATATATGGAAGTGAAAAAGCTATAAAAAACCCCCTATGGAATCCAGTATGACAGTACATAAACATAGAAGGCTTACAGCAAGGCAATGTGCCTGAAAACTAGACCTGTCAGCTGGAAAAATGTCTCAACACACCAAGCCTGAAAAATCTCCATTAAATAAGCCATCACCTCTGATAAGTTGATAGACCTATATAAAATGAAAAGGCCCCTGAGGTGCTGCTTTATTCAGTATCACTTGCCAGGCATGGTCTTTAAATGGGAACATATAAATTGGAAAGGGAGACAATGAATTATTGCTGTTTAACAGCCACAGAAAATAGATTTTATGACAGGAAATGAATTTGAAATTTTGGTGAAGCTAAGGTTTTATGCTGTAGTAATTAATATAATATAATATTATTATTAAAACACCTCTAGTTTGTACACCAAAACAGTACTTGTTGCCCCAAGGTGTAGTGGTGAATGATGATACCAGGTGACAGATGCAGAAGGTACTGCAGGTTTCTGCTCAGCTTGGGTCTCCTCTCTGATGTCCTCGAGTGATTGAATAATGTTGGTTAATGAGAGTCCTGTGAAATTCCTACACCATCCCTCTCAGTTCCCCATATCAATTCACAAAAAATTCTTCTCTCTTGTAGGACATATGTGTAAAGGCTTATTTAGCTCTTCGACATCACACAAACCTGCTGATCATCCTGTTCTCCATGATGCTAATGACTGGAATGCCCCAATTAACCAGCAAAGAGGATATTGAATATATCCGGGATGCACTGACAGTAGGGAAAAGTGAAGAAGATGCCAAAAAGCATTTTCTAGATCAGATAGAGGTTTGCAGAGATAAGGGCTGGACGGTGCAATTCAACTGGTTTTTACATCTTGTGCTTGGGATCAAACAAGGAGTAGAAAAGCATTCTGCTTAATATTTTATGTAAATGAATGGTGGGTGTGTATAGGAGGTTAGTGACTCTACATGTTATTTATGAATTCTGAATAAATGAGCAGTCAGAATTACCTTTACTTTGCTTGCAGCTTAAATGGATCTTCTAAAAAGGCAAGGACTTCTGCTCTGCCCCTCTAGAAGATCTTCCTGCTATTAGGGTATTTTTGTTGTTTATTTTAAATGCCTAATGACACTTTAAGCTGCTGGATCCTTTAACTAGCTGTATTGCTGATGTGGCCTGTTTTTCTCTTATTTTCTTTAGTAATAATTTCAGATAAATGTGAATGAGGAGCTTGAGTAAGATGATAACCTGCAAATTCAAATAGAAATCTTGTATGACTTCACCTTAATTCTTCATGAGGGCCAAGACCTTCAAAAGCAGAAGAATCTACTTAAAATCATTGAAATCCCTGTAGGTAATTTACTTCTTCTCAGAATGTCTTACACTCAAGTGTTCTTCACCCACATCCTTCTCTTTTTTTCCCCTTCCTTTACACTTTGTCCTTTTGAATTTTTAATATGTTATCAGTAGAAAACAGCTTTAGCTCCACCACTAGAGAAAATTACCTTACTATTATTGTGGCCTCCTGACAGAGACAACTAAGCTTGACTGTCCTGCCAGGAGAACTTCGTAGTTACATGGAAGTTCCTCAGGTTTGAAATTGTGACGTTTAAATTTTGAAAGGGTTTTTTACTGTACTTTTTCATGGCAAATGTCCATATTATACTGTAGATTATATTCTTACTGTAAAGTAACTAAGATTCCACCTGTATAGTAAAAGCTTTGTGGAAAAAGCAATGGTACTTCCTTATTCCTCAGAGAAAACTCCTTGTGTAAGAGTAATTGACATTTTGCCAAATATTTGAGAAACCCAAAGTTATTTATTCTTTGGTGATATATTTTCAGGATATAACTAGAAGGAATTAAGTGTAATCTTTGAAATTTTGTATATTTTGTTATTTATTTTTTAATTCCTTAAGAGACTGTACTACTGAGATGCTATTTATGAAAGAAAAAAATCCTTATCTTTAATTTCAATATTTAAAACTTAAAACAGGAAGAAAATGGGCAAAGTTAGGTAGAATTTTAACTTCTTACTGTAGGATGCCTGCAAATCATCAAGTCCACCTGTGGTTGGAAAGGAAAAAAATATATAGCATGAATTAGTGTTTGACTTGAATTATTATGGTATACTTCCTGCTAATTGATTTTTACCAAAGAGAGAAGATGGCTTATAATATTGCTTTTTTGCACTTGTGCCTGTGTAATTTCCTCTTTCATTGTAGTGTTACATAGGTTTTACATTTCATATAAATGATTAACTGAATTTTTAAATTCTGTTGTCATTTGCTTTGATCATTTCACAGAACTGTTAAGATTTTAACCACTGCTACTACTGTTACTACTGAGTGTGTTCTTGAAGGATTTTTAATAAAAGTACTGTAATCAGTGTCTCAGTTTATGAGATATAACCAATCTGTTCTTGAAATGTGGATGTTTCATTGGTTACTGTGCACAGCTATTTTTGATGTATATGGTAGACTCCAGTTAAGGAAATCTAAAAAGTTAAAATTTAGAGTATTTGTTGTTCTGTTACATTATTATTCTGTGCAAGATAGGCTTAAGACCGTACTAAAATACAAACTAAATGGTAAATATTGTTTGGAAAATGGTATTTTTAGATTTGTATTTTATAGATCTGAAATAAATTTACATGTTCTATTCATTTGATTGTCATTCATTAATGAGCAGCCTCGCCCAAAATACTCAGAAATGTTCTTTATCTGCTTACTTGAAGACTGTGTAATCTCAGTGAGAAACCGTATTCAAAGTCCCACTCAGAGGAGTTTATTTAGTTCCATATTAATGACTTCTTACAATGTTAGGTATCTTAAATTTTAATAGTCTGTAGTATTAGAATTGCAATTATTATAATTGTAAAATGTGAATGTGAGTATTACCACTTTCTAAGACCACTTTATTGATTCTTGGCTTTTTCTATAAAGAAAAATATGAAGGTTGTAGTAGGTTACTAGTTTTAAAGTAAGTAAATCTACTGCTAAATGTAACTCCAGCATGGGGAAATAAATGCTAATCAAACTTCAAGGGAAATGCATTCTTGAAGCAGCCTCCATTTGCAGAAAAAGGTCCACGAGAGATCTGAACCCAAAGGGTCTTGCACTAAACTTAAGCACATTATTTTTATCAGCAGTTTACAATGTGCTGTATTGAATTGTGTACCATGTTTGTTACAGACATCCGGAACACCTCTGTGCTGAGCTAATTAGCAGACTTTCTCATTGCTTTCCTGACCTGAGAACTCTACTGTTGGGCTGCTGGGGCTGTAGCACTGCCTTGTGTCTTCTTTTGAACATCCCCTCTGCATCAGGCATTGGGTATTTGCCAGCCTGACTTCTGGAAGATTAAAAGTAGCTGCCAAATTTCCTTTCTACCTACAGAACAAGCTATTAGGCACTTTACTGGCACTTTATTTGTAAATAGCTGTGTGTTCATCAGGCTGGGTGTTGGCCTGCTTTGGAAACCTCCACCCACAACTGCCTGTTTTCTGGCCAGCCCTGCCACAAGGAACAGCACAGAGGTGTGGTTTGAGGCAATCCAGCTTCAAGGTGGAGTGGAATTGCTTTTCAGGTGAGAGGCAGACACCAGCACATACCTGCCCATCCCAGTGCAGAGCTCACCATCACTGGCTGCAGTGGCAGATCCATAGACAAGGCCTTGAAAGCTGGAACTCTAGCACAGCCACCCCTGGAGCAGGAAGATGAACCACCATTTCCTGAGTTTGGACCTAATGCCTCCCAGTGTGTAAACAGACCAGCCCTTCAGAATAACTGTTTTAGAAGGGGCTATGAAACAGGAAACATAAATTAATCACTAACCACATTTCTTACAGGCTCTAATACAGCATGCAGAGAGAGAAAATCTTCTGGATAGGTCTCTTATCATCCTTGTCTCCTGTTAGCCTTTGGAGTAATTTTTGGAAATTATTTTTAAGGGCTACTTTTCTTTAATAAGTATTATATTTTCTTGATAACCTAAATTCACATTACTGATGCTCCCAACAGTGGACATTTTCATCTGTTCTTACAGTCAGTGCCTCAGACTTGGTTGTGACTTGACATACTCGTCAGCTCCAGCAAGATCCTTGAGATGTAGGTTAGCAATGAGTGTGTCTCCAAAGCAGCCTGATTATATTCCCCAACAGGAAGAGAAGTTGAAAGGGAGCTAAAGGTATGATTATATCTGGATCTCCATTGAATACCCTGTTTGCACTTGTTAGTGGTATTTAATCTATAATTAGCAGAATATTTAGCTTTAATTAAAACATATTTACCAGAATTTCTTCTAAAATGTGATCAATGATACAGAAACACACACATAAGCTACTGACTTAAGAAAAATGTAAATGGAAATCGTAACTCTTTAAAGTATTTTTTCACTATAAACCTTTTTTTACTGCCTACTAGCAGCATTCTGCAAATCCACATGAGTAGTCACAAGGATTATGTAGATTACAAACTCTGAGCTGATAACTTCCTAACACAGTTTGTGTAAAGTAGCCTTGAAAACAAGAAATTAGTAAAATTAAAGTCTGAGATACCAAACTATCTGCAGGTTCTGGTGGGCCCTTTGAGTATCCCAGTAACACTTGACGTACTTGAGAAACACTCACGTGCTTTCATGAATCTTCTAATTGCAATTTACAGAATATATGTTGGAAAGAGCACCCCTGGACAGAAATCTGCAGGAAGAGGTTCCTGCCATGCTCACTCCACTCTGCATTTTGGCAGCAGAATTGGCCAGAAAAAGTACTAATATATTTTTAAACTTTGTGGCATCTTAACAGAAAATAAGATTCCTGCCGGAGAAGAGACAGCAGTTTGTCTGCAGATACACTGTTAAAAATAAGGGCTAAAAAAACCACAACATGGTTGTGGCTACATGTGGATACATGGCTATGACCATACAAGGTTTGGATGTCATCATCTCATTACAGAAAAGAGGCCTTTTCCTGCTGGAGAAGAGACAGCAGTTTGTCTGCAGATACACTGTTAAAAATAAGGGCTAAAAAAAACACAACAAATGATACATGGCTATGACCATATAAGGTTTGGATGTCATCATCTCATTACAGAAAAGAGGCCTTGGTGACTGATTCTAGTAAATACAGGGAGACAGTCAGAAGGACGTGGCTTTGCCTGGTTTTTGAGCATCAGCGCGTCTGCAAGAGAGGGGCTTCCGTCCTGCTTGTTGATAATGAGCAAGTGGGCACTTGACAGGAAAAGCTCTTTCCTTTGTGGTCCTGGGGATGGGGTTTTGTCCTGTCAGAGGGTGCATGGCAGTACTTGACATAGCAAGAGCCCTCCACAGGCTGTTGAAGGCAAGTAGTCAGAGTTTAGAAGAAGATGTACCATTCCTCAGGTGATCTCCTGGGGATGCAAAAGAAGAGGCTGTCACTTTAGAAACAGCAGCAGCTGGGTGCCAGGAAAGCATGCCAGTTAATTTTAGCTAACAAAAGAGACCTGTGTATGGCAGAAATGCTGTATCTAGGATGTATGAGCACATCCCACACTTCAGTGCAACCTCTCTGGTGTTCAGCATGGGGAGTCACAGTTTGCAAGTGCTGGTCGTGCTCTCAAAGCTGTAATGTCTATGATCAGAGTATACCACTGATCAATTTGTTAAGTGCATGAAGAAATAAATGGAAAATAATAATCTGTAGATTGCATCATTTATTGAAAAGATAAACATTGAGTAGATAAACTAAGGTAATATCTAATGTAATGAAGAATAACCAGGGAAGATCCCTGAAAGGAGAATGAAAACAGAAATGTTAGTGGCCCATAATAAAAAAACAGCTTTAGAACTACAGCTCAGACTTTGTACCAGATGCTTCTTTGTCTTTGAATATATCTTCCTTTATTGAGACCAATTATGCTGCAAGGGCTATGGCTGGATAA